CCAGCATTCCTGCAGATTATCTGAAATAAAAGCAAGTTTAAGAGGAGGAGGAGCCTGCTCAGCTTTCCAGCACCTTCCTGGGAGCATGGTCAGCTGGTGTTGGTGCCTGCTGGGATTTTAGCAGTCTGTCTAGGAACCATGGAGACGGTCTTGGGACTGACATGGAAATAGTGCTGGCATCCTGTGTAGTATTTCAGGATTTCCAGGGCTGTCTACTAGATCATTCCTTTGTCTTTAACACTTAGACTCTGTTCAGTTACACTTGCTGAAGCATGAGTAAATAATTCCACTCAACCCTGCTCCTGTTTAAGGAAACATTGTCCTACGTGCGGTGGCAGAGCAGGGCTGAAGCAGTGAGGGCCAGGCCCCACGTCCTCCCTGGCAATGGCCACTGACGGGAAGCTCCATGTCGCCACACAGATGTTTAATTCAGTGTCAGGGGAGCTGGGTGGACAGAAGTGCGTGCTCAGGATCATCTCTGAAATAGGATTGTGAAGGTCAAGAATTTAAAATAAATCCCGCTGGCACATGTAACTTTATGTCTCCTGAAAGTATAAACAAAGAATAGTTTTTTTGTTGGCAAACCAGCTCAATGTAGATGTCAAATGCCAGTGTGCAAAGTGGTGCTCAGCATATAAGTGGCACTTAGAAATATGTATTAAGTGAATGGGTGCCATGTATTATTCTTGGACTGATGCATTGGAGATGAGCTCTACGGCCTGCTTGACAGGAGCGCAGTTATCAAATCACTGGTGGTCCCAGGCAAGGGAGAGTGACTGCCACGGTCCAGTTAGTAATTCCAAAGCAAAACTGTTGACCAGTATGCTACTAATAATGTACTCAAATGCTCTTATTTTACATTTTTAAATTTATTGTTGTATTTGAGAGCAAGAGAGCATTCCCAGCCTTGATCACTCCTCGGATGCCCTCGACTATCAGGACCGGATCTGCCGAATCGGATGGCGAGCTTCCTTCGTGCGTGGTGGGAACCAGGGAACAGAGCCATTACCACTGCCTGGCAAGGTCACTTTATCGTGCAGCTGGAGTCAGGAGCGGGAGCGTGGACTCAAACCCAGGCACTCTGATGCAGAATTTGAGCATCTTAAATGCTAACCCAAATACCACACCATGGTTTTTTTTTTTTTTTTTTTAAGCCTTGTGTGGGTAGCATGATTTGAAATAATTAAAATTATCTTCTTGTTCATTAGGATGACTTTGAAGCAAGACACATCATCTCTTATATAATTTTTAGATTAAGTTATAAATGTTCACTTCAGAACTACCTGAAGATTGATAGGGATGCATTTGAAAAGCATTATTTTTTTTATTGATTCTTAATGTAGTAAATTACTGAAGTTATTTGGCAGCAAACAGAAGTGGCCTGTGAAGTGGCTCACATTTATTCTCCTGATAGAGCCACAATCTGCATTAATTGCACTGCGACTGCACTCACTTATATTAAAAGGCTTCTACTATAATTAATCCTTTTTATTTCAAATCATTTTGGCACAATTTCGAGCTATAAACACTCATAAAAGACAGACAGTTGAAAAATATGTTAGAGGTTTTTTCCATATACCTATTGCTATTTTTTTCATGACAAGCAGTTATTGATACGCTTCTAAGAACGAGCATGAAGCAGCTGACGGAGAATTAAGGCCAATGTGAAAAATGCTAAGTGGATTATTTTGCATAAAAAATAGGCAGTTTTTGAAGTTGTGTAATTAACCTGTGTTTAGAAAATACCTTGATTTATGCTTACATTGGAGTCTCCGTTGCATACATTATGGAAATTTAATTTATAATCCATTTAGCTGATGCGATCATAGTTTTTAGTGCTATCATTTATTAGTGCTTGTGTATTCAATGCTCTGAAGGTTTAAACCTGCCCTATGTAAAAAATTATACCTACGCATTTACATTTTATGAGTCACAGTGGGATTTCTGTTTAAAATGCAGGTAGCTCTGATACATTTAAATGAATTTTGCTGGTTTATTGTTACTAATGCAGAAATGGCAAACAATGACCTTCTATATTGAACATCACATGATTTACACTTCCAGTTTACTTTTAAAGTCTTTGTACAAATGAGGGCTTTTCTGCAACACCTGGAATCAATCATGGAGTTTTATGCAGGATGTTATTCTTGGCTTTGAACTCATCATTCACTTCGAAGCGATGCTGTTCAGGAGTGCTGCAGGTTAATAGTGTTAACCATTCTTAACTTTAAGCAAACTGGCTTTTCAATACAACTATATTATCAGTAGATGGCCACGTGTTGTTTGCAGTTTTGTTACTCATTCCTTCATTAGAGACCTTTTTTTTTTATGTTATTACCCAGATTAGTTGAGTAATAATTAGTATTGGAAATCAGAAATAAAAACCACAAGAATGCAGTGCTTCCGCTTACCTAGCAGAGAGCCTTGGCCCACTTCTGTGGCTTCTCTTGGCACTGTTTTTTCGTTTGTTGTATTTTGTTTTTTCTTAATTCATGCAGATCTGTCTTAAAAATCCTCAGGCTTCACATTTAGTGTGTGTGATGTTGTCTGGTGATGCCTTCTTAGTTAGCGACAGTGAGGTTTTGATTTTCTTGTGGCAGTGGGTGAGCTGCGTCCACAGTGGGGTGAAGGAGTCCGTTACGGCCTCTCTCTGTAGCAGGGCTCATCATGGGAATGCGCCATGTGGGGTTGATCTGTCCTCCGGCCTTGTCCATCCTTCCTGTGGTCATAAGGTCCTCTGTCCAAGGGACCTTCGAGCACGATTGGTGGGAATTGGAGGTGACTTGTGCTTTAGGACTAGACCTCAAGTTCTCCACCGCCTGGGGATAGTCCTGCTTTTCTGACCTGGGAGTGTGGGAGAAGATTTCATGTGGTGAATGTAAATATCTGTCTGTCTTCAGGTTAGACATTCTAACAAAAATGACATTTGAGGGGAAATCTAAATTTCCTGATGATTTTTAAATGTTCATTCTTTTATGTTAAATTAGAGAAATGTCCAGACAGGCCAAGTGTTTAAGAAACTTTAACAAGTTTTGTGCTTCTATACAAATCACTGTTAGAATAAAATACTGAAAATAGTTTTGCAAATGTCACAGCACGTCTTTTGTTCTTTCTTGGATTAGTGTCCCTACGCCATTGGAATATTTATTATATGAGGTAAACCTCTGGCATTGTGTTGGAAACCTTGTGTATTTATACTTTTTTGCCTTCTTTTGCTAGGGAAATTCTGGAAAGTAATGGTAACACTTGATTTAATCTGTGATAATAACAATTAAAGCCTCAGTGGGATACCTTATTGTATCAACCTGAATAACAATAGCAATCATATTGAAAATGATCAGTGTGATGGTAGAGCAGGCTAATCCTCCACTCTGTGGCACCAAGATCCCATATGGGCGCCGTCCTGGCCATTCCACTTCCCATCCCATTCTCTGCTTATGACCTGGGAAAGCAATGGAAGATGGCCCAAGTCCTTGGGAACCCTACATCCACATGGGAGACCCGGAAAAATCCCCTTGCTCCTGGCTTCAGATCAGCTAAATGTTTTAGTTTTAAATGTTTTTGTTTGTTTGTTCTGAATCGGTTCCATACAAAGAGAGCAAGACCAAGGGGGTATTCTTTTTGCTGGTTTATTCCCCTGATGTTCGTAGGAATACTGGACCAGGCCAAAGCCAGGAACTTCAACCCTGTCTCTCATCTGATTGGCAGAGGCCCAAATACTTGGGCCGTCTTCCAGTGCTCTTCCCAGGCCATTAACAGGGAGCCAGATAGAATATGGAGTAGCCAAGTCACATACTGAAACAAATATGGGATGCTGGTGTTGTGGGCAGTGTGGTTTTACCTACTATGCCACAATGCCAACCCCCTTAAAGACTTCTAGACATGTAAAATTACATGGAGTCCAAATTTGGAGCCAGCCATCACTTGTTGACACATTGTGACTGGTTTTGTGTTCCAAAGGGGAAGTGGACTACCTACAGGAACAGAGATGTTCTGCTTGCTGTAAGAGTTGAGCTGTGGGGCCTGGCGTGATAGTGTAGTGGTTAAAGTCTTCTATTTGCACGCACCAGGATCCCATATGGGTGCCAGTTCTAATCCCGGCAGTCCCACTTCCCATTCAGCTCCCTGCTTGTGACCTGGGGATGCAGTCAAGGACAGCCCAAAGCCTTGGAAACCTGCACCCACATGGGAGACCCAGAAGACACTCCTGTCTCCTGGCCTTGGATTGGCTCAGCTGCAGCTGTTGTGGCTGCCTGGGGAGTGAATCATCCGACGGAAGATCTTCCTCTCTGTCTCTATGTATATCCACCTTTGCAATAAAAATTAATAAATCTTTTTTTTAAAAAAAGCGTTGAGGTGTGGGGCCTCTCTACCCCCACCACAAAAAAGCTATGTGCAAGTCCCAATGTCATGTCCCTGTGAATGTGGATTTGTTTGGAAATAAGTCTTTGCTAATGTAATCGTGTTAGCGTGAGGACATGTTGGGTTGGAATGGGTTCCAAAAATCCAGTGATTGTTATTTCATAGAAGAGAAATTTAGATATAAATGTGGATACACACACAACTATAAGATAACGCTGTGAGGAGGCGGAAAGAGTGATGCTTTATAGATCGGGGACCATCAGGGATCACTGGAGACGCGAGGAGCCGAGAGGCAGCAGAGGCTCTTCCTGTCGAGCATCTGGAACTGTGAGACGCTCTGGTTGTATGGACTAGGTTTGTCAGCCTCTGTGTGTGAACGGTCTGGCTCTTCATTCCCATTTCAGCCTCTAAATAGTCTATTCTCGAATTTTCAACATACTGAATATGTGCAGCGAGTTCTTCAAATGTGGCCTGGCGTGACATAAAGACTATCAGCTACCACCCTCTTTGTCACAATACAGGAAAAAATTGGGGGGATTCTGTTAATGTCATTTTGAACATGCATCGTTTTATTATAAGAAGGCATCAGAAGTTGTTTCTGTTAAGTGGCGGCCTTTGTCCGTTGCTCTTCGTTTCAGGCTCTCTATGAAAACATGCTGGTGGAGCTGCCTTTTGCTGGCTTCTTTCTCTCGAAGCTGCTCGGAACGAGTGCGGATGTCGACATCCACCACCTGGCCTCCTTGGACCCCGAGGTCTATAAAAATCTGCTGTTTCTCAAGAGCTACGAGGGCGACGTGGAGGAGCTGGGGCTCAACTTCACCGTGGTCAACAACGACCTGGGAGAGGCTCAGGTGAGGACCTCGTCCTGTTCACGTGTCCACAAGCAAGGTGCTTCACGTTCTTCTCCAAGTGGTAGGGTTCCTTTTGTGGGAGAGTAAAATCATTTCACACGCTTTAGTCAACAGTTGCCGTGACTGAGGATCTGCAGGGACCCGAGTCACTTCAGCGCGGCAGCCTCTTAGCTGAGCTCTGTCCCAGCTCCCTTGCAGTGACGGTCTGTCCTACAGAGCAGCCGGGCTCTCTCGAACCTTGTCGCCGTGAAGCCCTGCTTCTGCCTCGTTCTTCCTGGGGCTGGAGCAGGGCTGGTTCCTCAGCTTTCGGCTTCCATGTGGGATGTCGGCATTGCAGGCAGAAGCTTAACCTGTTACACCGTAGTGCTGGCTCCTGAAGCCATATTTAGTATCTCACATTTTACTAGATCATTCAGTGACCTGTGCGTTTCTAACTTACCATTGATTTTCAAGCCTCGTTTACAGGACGCATTGTTTCTGCAGTAAATAGTGTCAGTTAAATCGCCTTTGGAATACTTGACTCACACGGTACTCCTTAGCCTAAACCTCAGGTTGATACTGCTAACGTTTTGTTTTGGTAGACGCACATTAAGTTGAATCAGTGCAGTTCTTTATCTCCTTATTTCAAGTCATTGTGCTGTGTAAAGTTGGAATTGTTTTTGTTTGTTCGTTTTTAGTGTCGGAGTATACGTTGTCAGTATGAACTGTGTAGTTTAAGGTATGAATATTTTACAAATAGGCCAAAAGAACAAGTACAACTCCAAACACAGCTGGGCAAGGTGCCTAGAACCTTGGAGCAGGATCTGAACGAATGATTAGGGGCAAGAAGCGGCTGACGGTCAGAGGGTCAGAGAGCAGGCAGTTGGGTGTTAGAGACCCAACCTTGCAAGACTGAGATGTAGAAGCTGATCATAAATTCGCAAGGGAGATAACGTGTGATTCCATAGCTGACCTTCAGGATTTCAGTACTGCAGGAAAAGGTATCCTAAAACAGGTGCACTGGTGATGGTGGTAGGGAACTTGATGCTGCGGTTAGGCTGGTATGCCCATGGGCTGTATCAGGGTGCTTGGGGTGAAGTCCTGACTCCAACTGAAGCAGCAGGTGAAGACTCGACACGTGGGTCCCTGCTCCGGCCTGCTGTACTTGCCAGCTGCTGGAAGTCAGCTGATGGAGTACAGTTGTACTCTCTAAATAACTTAAAATACCTAAAAAATACATAGGAAAATACTTCATGTAAGTGAAATCATAAAATATTTGACTGTGGCTGGCTTACTTCCTTTAGCATAGTCTCTGGGTTCACCCATATTGTGTAATATGTATCAGAATTTCCTTTATTTTCTATTTTATGGGCAGAGCACATTTTGCTTGTCCATCCGACGCTAGATGCTTGAGTTGCTTTCCTGTTTCAGCTGGTTGGCAGTACCATTGCAGTAAACATGGGCATGTACATGTCAGCTGGCAGCTACTGCTATGTAGTGTGTAGCAATGTATGTAGGAATGTGTCAGCATTGTTCATTGTTGAATTTTTTGAGGTTTTTTTTTTTTTTAAAGAAGAGTTCAGTTGTTTGTGGTTTTTTTTAAGATTTTTTTTTTATTATTATTACAAAATCATATATACAGAGAGGAGGAGAGACAGAGAAGAAGATCTTCCGTACAAGGATTCATTCCCCCAATTGACAGCAATGGCCGGTGCTGCGCTGATTCTAAGCCAGAGCCAGGAACTTCTTTCCAGGTCTCACACAGGTGCAGGGTCCCAAAGCTTTGGGCCATCCTCAACTGCTTACCCAGGCCACAGGCAGGGAGCTGGATGGGAAGTGGAGCAGCTAGATACGAACTAGTGCCATATAGGATCCCAGGGTATGCAAGGCGAAGACTTTAGCCGCTAGGCCATCACACCGGGCCCGGGCTGTGTTTAACTTTCTGAGGAATCCTCATCCTGTGGTGTAAGGCCTCGGCAGCGCATGTTCCGTCAGCGGTGTGCGGGAGTGGGACTTCTCCATATCCTCCTGTGTTGTGACTGCACGCCGCCTCCCTCCTGTGCATTCGGAAAGATGTGATATCATATTGCGTTAGTGTTGCTCACGCTGCTAGGCTATGATCTGGAAAGTTTCTCCAGAAAATTTAAAGATTAAACATTTTTTTAACTTCCTCTGTAGCCTGCAGAATTCCTGTATAAGTTTTTATGCCACAGTGATGTATCCAGAAACTAAAACGAAAAGCATACCCAAAGATTTCTATATGCTAGCACTTGAAACTTCTGGATATTGTTTTTAGGTGATAGTCTTTGAAACTTGAATTTTGATCTTGTTTCTCAAGCCTTTAAGGGCACTTGTTTCAGAATCAAGTTTGGATTCCATTCTGGTCACAGAGAAGGAAAAGTTACACCGTGCGTTGTACATTCTGCTCCACCTACATAGTCTACAATTTCCTGAGAATTGATGCTAACAGGGCCATGAAATAGGAATGCGAACTAGAGGAGTTATATTTTATTGAAACTGCAAATAGAATGTGCAAAAGAAAATTGTTTTTTGAAATCCACACATATTTTTATTGGAAACTCAGATTTACAGAGAGGAGAGACAACGGGAGAGATCTCCCATCTCCTGGCTCGCTCCCCAGGTGGTTGCAGCAGCCAGAGCTGAGCTGTTTCTTCTGGGTCTCCCATCCTCCTCTGCTTTCCCAGGCCACAAATGGGCAACTGGAAGGGAGATGGAGCAGCCGAGATATGAACCGGCATCCATATGGGATCTTTGCACATGCAAAGGGAGGACTTTATCCACTAGGCTGCTGCACCAGCCTGGGGTCTTTTTCTTATGCCCCCTTAGGCTTTTTTGCAGTGTGGCCTTAGCTCAGTCCTGTGCTCCTTTCCCTTCTCCCTTAGCTGCTTTCATCCCAACCTCTTTTCTGTGGTAGAACTGAAGCTTCAACAAGGCAGAGTTGAAATGTTTTTTGGATGGTAATGTTTGTAATTGTCACAGGAACGTTTTCAGCAGATGTTGCTCGATGCTGTCCCCTTGCACCATCTAGTGGCATGATTTTAAACTGGAGTAAAATTAGCACTAGATACAAGTCAGTATTATGACCTGTCCAAGGCCTTTGCTAACAGGAGAATCTTCCATTTTTCCTCCTGAAATAGATGGTAGTAGTGACATGTCACATATGCAAGAGTTCCATTAAAGCTCCACCGGTAATACTGGAATCTATAAAAAGCAAGAGTGTGGAGTTGGATGTTCCAATTAGTCATAGAGATCCCCACTGGGTTAGCAGCTGATAGATGATAATATATAAGGATCATTATACTTAAGAGTCTAACTAGAAAAATTATGAAATTTACTGCTGAGGCCGGTGCGGTGGTGTGACAAGCTAATCTTCCGCCTATGATGCGAGCATCCCATGTGAACACATTTATGTCCCAGTGACTCCATTTCTGCTGGTCCAACTCCCTGCCTCTGATCTGGGAAAGCAGAGGAGGACGGCTTAAGTGCTTGGGCCCCTGCATTCTTCTGGGACATCAGGAAAGAGGTTCCTGGCTTCTAATTGGCTCAGCTCTATAAAAGTGAATAAATCTTTTTTTAAAAAAGAAAAGAGAGGGCCCAGCGTGGTGGCCTGGCAGCTAAAAGTCCTTGCCTTGAACGCAACAGGATCCAGTATAGGCACCGGTTTTAATCCTAGCAGCCCCACTTCCCATCCAACTCCCTGTTTGTAGCCTGGGAAAGTAGTTGAGGACTACCCAAAGCCTTGGGACCCTGTACCTGTGTGGGAAACCTGGAAGAGCTCCTGGCTCCTGGCTTCGGATCGGGACAGCACTGGCCATTGCAGTCACTTGGGGAGTGAATTCTTGGATGGAAGATCTTCCTCTCTGTCTCTCCTCCTCTCTATATATATCTGACTTTGCAATAAAAAGAAGTAAATAAAGTATAATGTGCAGCTATTTCACTGTGGGCAGTAATGTTAATTATTGTCTGCTTTTGTCTGATCAGTATGGTTGGTTGTGATCTGTTCATCAGAAACTTAGAATTTTGGACTGCTAACTTTAAAGAAAGTTCTAAGGGCTTAAGAAGGACACACAAGTTCATGGACAGGCTCGTGTTGTGCACAGGAGCTGCTGGCATCCCATAGGAGTACTACTCCTGGTCCCAGCTGCTCCACTTCGCATTCAGGTCCCTGCTAATGCACCTGGGCAAGTAGCTGAAGATGGCACAGATGTTTGAACCCTGCTCCCACGTGGGAGACCAGATGTCTTCTGTCTCCTGCCTGGTCTTTGCAGTCATTGGGGCAGTAAACCAGACAACCCAAGATGTCTCTTATTGTAACTCTGCTTTTCAAATAGCTAAATAAATCTTTTTAAAAATTCTTTAAGTCTGTGAAAAGCAAAACTAAAACCAATTTTAGGTGCTAAAATTTAAATCTGTAAGTAGAGTCTTAGTAATTCATATTTCCCATGAATTGTTTGAAAATCCTTAATAATCATTTTTTTTATTTATTTGTTTTTTAAAGATTTATTTTTATTATTTTTTTATTGGAAAGGCGGATAGACAGAGAGGAAGATCTTCCGTCCGATGATTCACTCCCCAAGTGAGCGCAACGGGCCTATACTATGCCGATCCGAAGCCAGGAGCTTCTTCCGGGTCTCCCACGCGGGTGCAGGGTCCCAAATCTTTGGACTGTCCTCGACTGCCTTCCCGGGCCACGGGCAGGGAGCTGGAAGGGAAGCGGGGCTGCCAGGATTAGAACCGGCGCCCATATGGGATCCCGGGCGTGCAAGGCGAGGACCTTTAACCACTTGGGCCACCGCGCCGGGCCCAATAATAATCATTTATTATGTAGAAAGGATTGCACTCGGGGTTAGCACTGTGATGTAGCAGGCTAAACTGCAGCTCCTGTGTCCCGTCTGGGCACTGGCTGCTCCACTTCTGTGCAGATTTCTGCTGATGTCCCAGGCAAGGCAGTGGGAAATGGCCCAAGTGCTTAGGTCCTCGCCATCCCTGCAGGAGACCCAGATGGAGCCCCTGGCTTCACACCAGCCTAGCTCCATTCATTATGGCTACTTGGGGCGTGAAGCAGCAGATGGAAATCTCTCCTGTGTCTCGCCTTACAAATAAATATTTCTTTTAAATAAAAAAGGTGGCACGTGAATCTTGAAGCCTTGGTCCCATCCCGGGTTCTGCTGCTTTGCTGTGTGACTTTGACATCAGCTTCCTCCACCTCTCTTCCTTGAAGTCTCAGAAGGGGTACTAGGTGCCGAGTACCCTAGGTGCTGGAACAGCAGTCCTTGCGAGGTGACACAAACGGCAGCCCATGAGCAGAGAACTGCTCCTGAGCAGTTAAAGGGCTTTTAAATACGCCCCCACAAACCTCAGGCTTTAGCACTGTTTGCCATAGGGGTGGTTTTTTAAGTGTACTTAGTTGTTTTGATTTTTAAGCTCAAGAGAGGATTTTTAATTGAAAGTAGTGTGTTTGAAATATCGGTTTGTTTTGATTAAATGGGCTAATTTGGAGGCTTTGAAGTTCCCTTAACTGATCGCTGGCCCTTTTGTCTTCCAAATCACACCAGTGCGTCTCATTTATTACCTGCCTTAATCCATTTAGAGGAAAGGGGTGGTATTTTATATATTGAAATATAATAACCAACCCCAGGAGGCTTGGTTAACAGATAGACTGTCAGCTGAGTACAAGCAGAGGAATTAAGGTAATGGACACAACTTTTAATCAGAATGAAGACAATGGATTTGAAAGCCCATTCCTAGTCCTGATGGTTCCCAAACTAAGAAAATGAATTAGTAAGAATGATTGAATCTTCATTTAAACGTGTACCATTAAGGGAAGCAAATGTGATACATTTCATCCCAAGTTGAAAATTACCTAACTTTTATAAAAAGAACTAGGAAACTCCCATGCCCTGTAATGTCAGATTGGGATATTTTAAGTGAGACTCTTGAGCACATGTTAAAATGGCTTTTCTGTAATATGGTAGGAAATTGTACTGTAAATGCCATTGCCCGAATGGAAGGTACTGTCTTGTTGTTCTCAGATTGTAACAGCTACTAAAGGACTGAAAGGTCAACAGCAAAATCACAGAATGTGGGCTACTTTTTTGTACTCTACTATGTAAGCATTTCTTTCTTCCCTCAGACTTTCCCACCACTTACTCTGTGCTAAGTCCAGTTTGTCCTGTTGTTCTCTTCTTGTGATGGTTTCCTTATAAATATGATCAGCCTGCGGTGTCTTAGTTAAATTAGTCTGAGTCTATTTTTTGTCCTAAGTCTTACTCACGTACTTGAAAGGCAGAGTTAGAGAGACGTAGCGATCTTAAAGCTCCTGGTTCACTTCCCAAATGATTGTGTTTGGCCTGGTCTAGGCCGAAGCCAGGAACCTGAAGCCGCATCTGGGCCCACATGTGTGTCGGGGCTTCTCTGGTGCTTCTCCAGGCGCACCTGTGGGGAGTGGAATCGCAAATGGAGTAACTAGTGATAAGGGACGCCAGTATTGCAGGCAGCAGCTCAACTGGCTGGGCCGTCACTTCTCCGGTATATTTCGCATTTCCCTTTAAGTAATAGTAAGTAGAAAATTAGGGTATTTTCTAAGTTACAGTGTTTCACTGGTCAGTTTGGTATGTATAAATTCACTTAATCGGCATTTCCAAGGTAGACAAAGCACTTGTCTACCCATTTTATTGCTAAGGAAAGAAGTTGTAGGGACAACATGACTGTTCTGTAGCTTTGTACTGAAGGGAGAAAGGAACAGCTGGAATCCACACACTGTGGGGCTTGTCTCATTACACACTACTGTTGCTTAGGGACAGGTTTGGGTCCTCACCCTCACTTCTTTTGTTTTTTGACCTATGAATTGTACTGGCTGTGTTACCATTAGAATGTTAATATGTGTGTATGAAATTAACTGACGAGTTCTCTTTCATTGTTATTTAAATCTTAATTAAAATGCTTTGATGATTACATTGTAGAAATGCAAAGACAAAAGTATTTGTTTTAACTGTTATAAAATTGGTGCCAAGCAACCACCCAAACTAGTTGAAGGAGTTTTTAGAAAACCTCTGAATTGGGTACTCACTCAACATGTAGAAAGTCAGTCACTGATAATGGGGTGGTAGAAGAAAACTTTTTTTGTTGTAAAGTGCAGAACAAGGAGCTGGGCAGCTGTTGCTTAATTCCTGACCCCTGGAGATATTAACGGTGAGGATTCTTACAGTTGTAATTGGGGCTGAGACACGTGCCCAGCCCCTGCGATTGATCAGTGTTGCCTCACTTAAGGAATTCGTGTTGTCCAGATGGACATCAGTTGGTCTGGGACAATTATGTGGAAGTGTTGCTTTCTGTCCCGGTCCTGGAATTTCCCCAAACAAACGCCCTCTGGTCAGTATTAGCAAACAAGGCTGTCTTTTGGAGAGGCAGTGGCTTCTGGATTGGAGTGATTGGAACCTTGTTGAGCTAGTAGCATTACTCCCTTACCGTAGAGAATTCATTTTGAAAGAATATAGGCAGCTTGGGCTAATGGATGCCTTTACATTTTGGGGGTTCTATCTCAGAGTTAGGGTCAGGCTGCTAGGCTCTAAGTAGTCAATGTACCAGGGAGGAGATGCAGTGAAAAGCTAGGCTAACTCAAGTGGCCAGCCAGAGGAAGGCTGAACTCATCAGTCTCATCAGTCAGAAGGGAAGGAATTTGCTCCTGTTCATGTGAAAAGTAGACGGGAGGATGTCCTTTCTTCAGTGGCAAGAGGAAGTGGGGTGAACTACAGCTTTTGAGCTATAGCCTTAATTCCATGGGTTATATTATCCCCAGGGCTGGGGTTCCTCTCTTTACCCCTTGTGGCATCTAATTTTTTTCGACTATGATGCTCACGATTGCCTTAGGGTTGGGTGGTGGCCTCGGGATCTGCCTGTGACGGCGTGTATCAGCCTCCTGTGTTCTGTCTGGATGCCTGTCCTTTCCTTGCTGGGCCCTGGCCCCGGAGTCGTTGGGGAGAACTTTGAGAGCCTCTGTCTCACACTCACAGGTGGTGGAGCTCAAATTTGGCGGGAAGGATATCCCTGTCACCAGTGCCAACCGCATCGCCTACATCCACCTGGTGGCAGACTACAGGCTCAACAAGCAGATCCGCCCCCACTGCCTGGCCTTCCGCCAGGGTCTGGCCAACGTCGTCAGTCTGGAGTGGCTCCGCATGTTTGATCAGCAGGAAATTCAGGTGCCGGATATTTCATTATGCGTGTTTGATCACAGGAGAGGAAAGCACTTTGTCACAGTCCACCTCAGATTTTATAGTTTGAACTTTTTTTTTTTTCAGGTGTTAATTTCTGGTGCACAAGTTCCCATAAGTCTGGAGGACCTAAAGTCTTTCACCAATTACTCAGGTATGTTATCATCACTTAGTTAGTTTCCTGAAATTGTTATAAATGGCCATATTTGCAGGATACCCTTTTTTTTTTTTGAAAGGTTTATTTTTATCTGAAAGGTAGATTTACACAGAGAATGAGCAGCAGAAAGATCTTCTGTCTACTGACTCACTCCCCAAATGGCCACAATGGCTGAGGCTGAACTGAACTGGAGCCAGGAGCCAGGAGCTGCTTCCAGGTCTCCCACGCAGGTGCAGGGTCCCAAAACTTTGGACCATCCCCTGCTGCTTTCCCAGGCCCCAAGCAGGAAGCTGAATTGAGAAGTGCTTAGGACTGCATGGGAACCTGACACTTAAGGGGAAGGATTAGCCAATTGAACCATTACTTTTTTTTTTTTTTCCCAAGATTTATTTATTTATTTATATTGGAAAGTCAGATATATACAGAGGAGGAGAGACAGAGAGGAAGAACCTCCATCCGTCCAATGATTCACTCCCCAAGTAACTGCAACAGCTGGTGCTGCGCTGATCCTAAGCCAGGAGCCAGGAACCTCTTCCAGGTCTCCCATGTGGGTGCTGGATCCCAGTACCTTGGGCCGACTGCTTTCCCAGGCTACAGGCAGGGAGCTGGATGGGAAGTGGAATGGCCATGATTAGAACCTGCACCCGTATGGGATCCCAGCATGTTCAAGGCGAGGACTTATAGCTGCTAGGCCACGGCGCCAGGCCTGAGCCATTATTTTAATGTTATTTTTTTGTTTAGGTAATTTTCGTGGTTCAAAAAGCGTAGTGTACCTGGCTGGGGGTGGGCTGAGTGGAAAGTGGAGCCGCCAGTACTGGAACCAGCTTCGTATGGGATGCCAGAATGCACCTAGCAGTTGTGCCTGATCTGCTTAACCTTACACTGTAACTTGTGATTTTGTATGTGCTCCTGTGTGTGACATCTATTTTTCACCAGTAGAATCACACAAAAGTTAGAAAGCACTCTTCAGTCCGCTGGTTTATTCCCCAAATGTCTATAACAGCCAGGATTGAGCCCAGCTACCCCCAGGAGCTGGAAACGTCTCCAGGTCTCTAAGGTGGGAGGCAGCACCCAGTCACTTCAGCCCTCGGAGACACGGTAGCCAAGACTCACACTGGCCCTCTTGGGGGTTACTTGGGCATCGAAAGCACCAGCCTAATTTGCTGTGCCACAACATCTACCCTTCAATTACTTTTTAAAGTGTATGAATAGTAGCATATGTCTTGAACAAAATTGAAGGTATATTTTTAACCTTTCCTCATTTATAGAAATCTACAGATTTTTAAATAGGCATATCAAAAATAATTTGAAATTGTGACCCTTAAATTCCTATTTTTTTATTATGTGCACGGCTACTCCTCAGGCTGTCTGTAGGTTGAGTCTTAGCTCTGGTGCTGTGGCAGATGACCACAGTGGGGCGGGGCCCGGCTCAGACCAAGCGCCGTGGCTGCATCCATGTTCCTGCGTGGTGACAGAGCTCGCGTGCCGGGGCTGTCAGCCACTGCTTCTCGGGTGCCTCACGCAGGCTGGAGCATAAGTGGACTAAGGGGACTTGAACTGGTGCCCCGCCATTCATTTGCAGATAGAGCTGGCTGAGGAGACGCACAAGCCTCTCCTCGGAGGTCAGCAGCAGTCTGATATCAAAGACAAGTGAAACTAGTATGAACAATAATGAAGTACTACTGATTGTCCCTTAGGAACATCGGTATAAAGATTCTCAACGAAGAATTAGCAAACTGAACCCAGCAGCATATAAAATAGGTTATTTAAAATTAACTTTTCTGGGGCTCGGCACGGTGGCGTAGCGGCTAAAACTCCTCGCCTTGACCACGCCGGGATCCCATATGGATGCTGGTTCTAATCCGGACTGCTCCACTTCCCATCCAGCTCCCTGCCTGTGGCCTGGGAAAGCAACTGGCCCAAGGTACTGGGATCCAGCACCTGCATGGGAGACCTGGAAGAGGCTCCTGGCTCCTGGCTCCTGGCTTAGGATCAACACAGCACCAGCTGTTGCAGTCACATGGGGAGTGAATCATCAGATGGAAGATCTTCCTCTATCTCTCCTCCTCTCTGTATATCTGACTTTACAATAAGATAAATAAATAAATAAATCATGGGCCCGGCGTGATAGCATAGTGGTTAAAGTCCTCGCCTTGAATGCTCCAGGATCCCATATGGCACCGGTTCTAATCGCGGCAGCCCTGCTTCCCATCCAGCTCCCTTCTTGTGGCCTGGGTAAGCAGTTGAGGACAGCAAAACTAATTTTTATGAGAGAGGGAGAGAAAGGAAGGAAAGGGGTGCTCCCTTTGCAGAAACCTCCTCACCTCTCCCGTGTAGGTGTCGGAGACCTGAGCACTCCTGCTGTGTTCCCTTGCCTCCCGCGTGCGCTGACAGACAGTGGAACCAGAAGTGGGATATCTGAGATGCGGCCAGGGCTGCAGTGTGAAATGTGGGCATCTCACGTAGTAGGCTAAGCCCCCTAGTGAACCATGCGTGGTTTGACATCTGAAAATCCGTGTAACGTGATGTACTGCACTGATAGTATATCCCACACACAGAGCCCACGTTCAGGACCTCTCAGTAGATAAGTGGGGGGCATCCACGGGTGGCAGCCCACATCCATTTAAGGGTGAGAATGCTCAGAACCAAAACAACCAGAAGGAACTTCTTCATCCTGGCAAAGACGAAAGAAGCTATCGATTTTCATGGTTTGGGGGCTCAGTATCATCGAAACAATTTCTCTAGATTGATGTAAGTTCAATGCCATCCCAATCAGAATCCTAGCAAGATCTCTAGTAACAGTCAGCAAGGTGTATTGAGAAACGGGATGCAGGAGAGCCAGCCAGCACTGTGAAAGAACCGAGTGGAAGGACTTAACACGCTGACGTGAAGTTACTGTACAACCACAGTGATCAAGGCAGCACGACGCTGGCACCAGAATGAGCGTGTTGATCCATAGAAATAGAATCAGGAGCTCAAAAAGCAAGTGTGTAGGTGTGTGATCAAAGGTTCAAAAACAAATTCAGTAGTGCTGCAACAATGTCTACTTAAGATCTACTTATTTTTATTTCACATTAAACCCCAGAATTAATACAAAATGGATCAGAACTAAAACTAGAAAACATGGAACATTCAACAGATACTTTTCTTGACTTTGAATTAGTCAGAATTTTTCATTGAGGCATCAGAAGCATGATTCAAAACAGAAATTTAAAAAGTCTGATTTCTCAAATTTTAAAAGCGTTTGATTTTGAAAGGACACTTTTAGAAATGAAGAGATGGCCTACATGTGGAAGAAAATGCATGCAAGCCATTTAGCTGATAATCCAGTTGCATCCACAGTATATGGAGAAGTCTTCAAATTCAACAGTAACACAGTCCAGTTAGAAAATGTGAAGAACGGGGCCCGGCGCGGTGGTGCAGTGGTTAAGGTCCTCGCCTTGCACGCCCGGGATCCCATATGGGCGCCGGTTCTAATCCCGGCAGCCCGCTTCCCATCCAGCTCCCTGCCTGTGGCCCGGGAAAGCAGTCAAGGACGGCCCAAGGCGTTGGGACCCTGCACCCGCGTGGGAGACCTGGAAGAGGCTCCTGGCTTGGGATTGGCATAGCATCGGCCGTTGCGCTCACTTGGGAAGGAATCATCGTTCAGAAGATCTTCCTCTCTGTCTCTCCTCTCTGCCTTTCCAATAAAAATAAAATAAATCTTTAAAAAAGAAAAAAGAAGAAGAAAAGAAAATGTGACGGAGAGCCTGGTGCGGTAGCCTGGTGACTAAAATCCTTACCTTGCATGCATCGAGATCCCATATGGGTACCAGTTCCTGTCATCGAGATCCTGGCTACTCCACTTCCCTTCTAGCTCCCTACTTGTGGCCTGAGAAACCAGTTGAGGGTGGCCCAAAGGCTTAGGACCCTGTCCCCATGCGGGAGACTCAGAAGAAGCTCCTGGCTCCTCGCTTTGGATCAGCTCAGCTCCAGCCATTTGTGGCTACTTGGGAAGTGAACCAGCAGATGGAAGACCTTTTCTCTCTGTTTCTCCTCTCTCTATATATCTGACTTTATAATAAATAGATAAAGAAATATTTTTAATGGTGAAAAGAAATTAAAAAGATATTTTCACTTAAGACAGTGTATAGGGGCTGGCACTGGCACTGCAAGTTAAACCTCTACCTAGCACTGTTAGCTCATGGGCACCAGTTTGATGCCCAGCTGCTGCACTTCCAGTTCCAACTTGCTGCAGATGCACCTGGGGAGGCAGTGGAAGGTGGCCCGCGTGCTGGGCCTGTGCACTTACTGGCCAGACTCCCGACTGCAACCTGGCTCAGCCCCAGCTGTTGGGGCCATTCCGCCTTCACATTGAAGATTTGTTCTCTCTTCTCCCTCTAGCTTTTCATTTCAAATAAGTTTTAAAAACATTTAAACACAGGTAAGTTGTCAGTAACTGTATGAAGAAATGAGTTACACCATTTGTCCGAATGAACTCCACGTGAGGTGCCGCTGCACCCCCACTAGAACGGCAGTTTTGAACAGGTTCAGTTGCGAAGGTTCATGAGTCTGTGGAGGTGGAACCCTCTTGACTGGTGGGAATGTCAGTCAGCGCCTCCTTGGAAGAGTCTGCAGCTGTGGAATAACATGGATGTAGAACATTTTGCTGAGAATGAAGCTATATCCCTCTAAATATGCAAAAATAACTGAAAATGGATCCGAGAGCTTAAGGTACAGAACTCGGAGGGGGAAAATGCATAGATCTTAAAGACGTACAGTTCTGGAACATTTTTGTTTCGTTTTTAGTCATTCATTTTTGAGAAAGAGAGAAAACTCACGTCTGCTGATTCACTCTCCAGATGACTTCGGTTGCCAGCGCTGGGCCGGGTCCTAGCTGCAGCCAGGCACTCGCCCCAGATCCCCTCTGTGGGTAGCAGGACTCGTCCAGCGTTGGGCCGGGTCCTAGCTGCAGCCAGGCATTCGCTCCAGATCCCCTCTGTGGGTAGCAGGACTCGTCCAGAGCTGGGCTGGGTCCTAGCTGCAGCCGGGCACTCACTCCAGATCCCCTCTGTGGGTAGCAGGACTCGTCCAGCGCTGGGCCGGGTCCTAGCTGCAGCCAGGCATTCGCTCCAGATCTACCCTGTGGATAGCAGGACTGACCACTTGAGCCATCATATTAATTCCTTGCGGGCAGGGGCACACGTTAGCAGGAAGCAGGATTCAGGAGCGGAGCTGGCATTTAAGCTCAAAAGAGTCTGTTGGAGATGCAGGTGTTCCATGCATCGTTTCAAGCAGTAGGCTGAATGTGCATCCCGGAAGCAGATTCTTGCAGAGTCAGCAGAATGGAGACATTCTACAGAACAGGAGCACACTTTTGCAAATTACCTCTCTAACGTGCATCTGGTTGCTGCCTGCAGTTCCCAGCCTCCAGTATAGGCACTGGTTCAAGTCCCAGCAGCTACCCTACTGATCCAGCTCTCCGTTAATGCTCCTGGGAAAACAGCAGAGGGTGGCCCGAGGGTTTGGGCCTCTGGACCTATAAGAGAGACTGAGAAGAAGCCCTTGGCTCCTGGCTTTCAACTCGGCACAGCCCTTGCCATTTTAGACATTTGGGGAGTGAACCAACAAATGGGAGATTTCTCCCTCTGTCTCCTCTGTCGGTAACTCTTACCTTTCAAATAAATAAAAATAAATACCATTTTTGAAAAGTCAATTACTCAGAATACATAAATTCTAGAACTTAATTAAAAAAAAAATAGAACCTGATTTGAAAATGGTGAAAGGACTTGAATTTACACAACACCAAAGATGCTCAGCGTCACACGCCATCAAGGTCAAAGCCGCACTGAGAACCCGCTGCACGTTTATGAAGAGATTGACTACTGCTTTGAGAGACAGAGCTTCTAACCTCTCATTCAGTCATCAGAAACCTGCAGTGGCTGGGGCTGACCTGGGGCCAAAGTCGGCAGCCGGGAATTCAGGTGTCCTTATGGACAGCAGGAACACAGTTCGCTGAGCAGTCACTGCTGTCTGCCAGGGTTTGTCCCCAAAAAAATCTAGAACCAGAGTCAGACATGGGACACAGGCAGCTTACAGAGTCGGGCATGGGGCACGAGCGCTCTAGGATGGGACACAGGCAGCTTACATGCTAGGCTGTATTTTCAGTTCACGTAGCTATAATAAAACAATATGCCGAAGCAGAAGAAAGCAGCAAGTGTTGGAGAAATGTAGAGAAATTGAGCCCATGCAGTCCGCTGCCTGTAGGCAGAAGAATGATAGCTGCTATGGGGAATACTTTGGTATTTCCTTAGAAAGCTGGACTTAGACTTGCTCTATAATTCAGCCATCCTAAGTAATTACCTAAGGAAAATGAAGCAGGTACTCCAAGTTTGTATTGTGCACCTGTGACAGCACCACTGTTTATGGCAGCGCTATTAACTATGACCACCGGCTAGGAATGAATACACAGTTGTAGACACACAATACAAAATCATAAAAAGAAGAGGTTCTAATACTTGTTACAACAATGGTTTATCTTGAAAACATGCTAAATGAAGGGAGACCTAAAGGGACAAATGTTAGATTAAGTACCTCAAGTTGGCAGATTCGTAGACCGAGTAGGTTAGAAGTTACTGGAGGCTGGAAAGGGGAGAAATGGGGAATTACTTCTTAATGGGTACAAGAGTTATTTTTGGGATAATGAAACGGTTCTGCTTGGGCATTTATAGTAGCGATTAAACAGCAATGTAGAGCCCAACACTATAGCCTAGCAGCTAAAGTCCTTGCCTTGCATGCGTCAGGATCCCATATGGGCACTGGTTCTAATGCTGGTGACCCCATTTCCCAGCCAGCTCCCTGCTGTGACCTGGGAAAGCAGTCAAGCACAGCCCAAAGCCTTAGGATCCTGCACCCGTGTGGGAGACCCAGAAGCTCTGAGCTCCTGGCTTCAGATAGGCGCAGCTCCAGCCATTGCAGCCACTTGGAGAATAAATCAACAGACAAAAGACCTTCCTGTCTGTGTATCTGACTTTCCAATTAAAAAATAAACAAATAAACAGCAATGTAAATGCAATTAACATCACTGAACTGTACATTTTAAAATAGTTTGAATGGCAACTTTTATATTCTGTATTTTTTTTAAAGATTTATTTTTATTGGAAAGTCAGATATACAGAGAGGAGGAGAGACAGGAAGATCTTCCATCCAATGATTCACCCCCCCCCCCCAAACGGCTGCAACAGCTGGAGCTGAGCTGATCTGAAGCCAGGAGCCAGGAGCTCTTCCATGTCTCCCACATGGGTGCAGGGTCCCAAGGCTTTGGGCCGTCCTCGACTGCTTTTCCAGGCCACAAGTAGGGAGCTGGATGAGAAGCAGGGCCGCGGAGATTAGAACCGGCGACCATATGGGATCCTGGCACGTGCAAGGCGAGGACTTTAACCACTACGCTATTGCGCCAGGCCCTATGTTCTGTATTTTAACCATGATCAAAAAGGAGTGGACATCCCAACACAGCAGCTTAGACTGCCACTTGGGAGGGCTGCATCCGATGTTGGGCTGCCTGCCTCTGCTTCCAGTCCAGCTTCCTGCTAATGTGCCTTGGAGGTCCTGGATGGTACCAGCTCACAGGCTAAGGCCCCTGACCCACACCGGGCCCTTCTGGCCGTGTTGTGGATGAGCCAGTGGATGAAAGTTTCTGTCTGTGTCTCTGCCCTGGCCCCTCCCTCCCAGCCAGCCTGTCTCTCCTTCACTGCTACGCAGCCTTTCTGTGTAAGTGATTGTTAAAGGAACAAAGAAAGACCTACCCCATTCCTCCGTTCTGTTGACTAAATGTGCCCAAAAATCTCCTCTCAGCGTTTATAAACACACACGTAGGTATTTGTTTATTTATATCGCTCTCTAAATTTGAATTCTTTATATAATGGCAAATAATACCTAAGGTCACATTGTCCCCACCATCAAGTCATACGTTTCAGAAAATGAAATCAGTCTACCCTTCCCTTTGCCAAGAAATTGTCATGCGCTGTTTGCATTACTCTGTCTGCACTGAAAGCTTGTACCTGTAATGGTCTCAGCTATTCCAGTAAACAGGTTTAAAATATTATCATATTCATTTTTGTGTCAATTAGTACACTTAAGATATTTTATTGATGTTCTTTCTGTAGTGTATTGACAATGAGGGAACAATATGTAGCAATTATTTTAGTTTTAGGAAGCACTTAACTAGATTAAAAGCTTTAAGTAGCTGATACTACATTTTAAAAACTGGTCTAATCAGATGCTGGGATGGTTGCTCACCATGATCTATTCCTTATTATCTAAAGGAGAGATGATTAAGGTACGCATTAAGATCATGTACTGGCAAAATGGATTTATTCAAAATAAAATCCCCAAATATGCTATTTTTTTTAGGTGTGTGACCGTATATGAATCCTGGGTTTAATTAGGGGTCTGATAAGTAATTGTTAATTCCTAAATGCTAGTATATATCAAAGAGTCAGCCTTCTTCGCAGTGTATCTGCTGTAACTTGGGAGTGTCCCTGCTGTGGAATCGGGAAGGGCGCTGTTTCTTTAGAATTGGCTTTGAGCCACCAGCACCGCTGTCCGTGACAGCTGTCAGGAAACGTGTGAGTAGAGCTTACGCCCTGGCATCTTCACGAGCTCTGAAAATGAAATGAAGAAGTAAACAGTTTAGAAGGAGAGCTCTGGCTTTGCAGTTGTGTTGGGTGACGTGTGTTTGGTTTTCCTAGGAGGGTACTCCGCCGATCATCCTGTCATTAAACTCTTCTGGAGGGTCGTAGAAGGTTTCACTGATGAAGAAAAGCGCAAGTTGCTCAAGTTTGTGACAAGTTGCTCTCGACCCCCCCTCTTGGGATTTAAGGTACACAGTTTCATACCATTTACTTTGAAAAACAAATTGTAACTAGCAAGGACAGTAAATAATCAAATAGCATTACTTGTTTTCAGAGACGTACGAGTACCAGTTGTTATGTGTGTATCTGAGCGCTGGTTTTTTTGGTGGTGTTGTATTCATATTCCCAGGTAGTTGAACTATGACTATAATTATCTTTGAAGAAACCCCCCCATTTGGATGGACTCTGAGGGAACTCCGTCATGCATCTTAGGCTCTTTTCGGTGCTCACCTTGTCGAAAGCGGGCCTGAGTTTGGGCACAAGCTTGGCACAGCGAGTAAGACAGCGCTCGCATCGCCTGTGCCTCTCACACAGTGCCTGCTCGAGGTGTGGCTGCTCCCCTTCGGATTCCGGATTCCCCCTGCTGTGTGCCCTGGGAGGCGGCAGGTGATGGCTCGCTGCTTCAGTCCTTCCCACTCTGATGGAGGATGCTGAGCCCCTGAACTTGGCCTGGTCAGACCCTGTGTGTTGCAGGCAGTTGGGAGCGAACGTCTTTCACACCATCACCCTTCTCTCACACCTATCTCTGCCTTTCAGGCCAGACGAAAATAAATAAGTAAGCGTAGGTTAAAGCACCACATGCAGTGCCAGCATCCCCTGTTGGAATTCCGCCGTGAATTTTGTCCCCACTGATGCATGTAGGAGAGCAGTATGTGATGGCCCGACTGCCTGGGAGACCTGGCTCCTGACTAAAGCCTGGTCCAGCCCTGACAGAGGAAGAAAGGTCTCTCCCTCTCTTTGATGAGGGAAATGGGCGTTTTGAGGTCCCGTGCAGACTTGCTGAGTGGGAGCTCGGGGTGCTGGCTCTCGGTAGTGCTGTTGTGCCTGCCCTGCAGGGCCTCTGCCATGTGCTCAGATTTTAGTGTCAACTTACTGTGAGAGACGGAGCTGTCAGTGGCTTTGTCTCAACACCACTGCTAAACCTAAAGATAAAAATGTAAACATGTGAGGGGGCCAGCTCAGTGGCAAAGCAGGCTGATCCTCCACCTATGGCACCAGCATCCCATATGGGCATTGGTTCGAGTACAGGCTGTTGTTCCCTGCTAGTATTTTGGGAATGCAGTGGAGGATGGCCCAAGACCTTGGGACTCTGCACCCATGTGGGAGACCCAGAAGAAGCTTCTGGCTTCAGACTGGCCCAACTGGCTATTTGGGGAATGAATGAATGGATGGATGATCTTTTTCTCCCTGCCATACTCTGTAACTCTTTCACTCAAAAAAATCAATAACCCTCCCCTCTCCCCGAAAAGTGGGGTCAAGAAAGGGCGTTGCTATCAAAGCAGGAGTAGATGCAGAGGTTTCCGTTGGCTCCAGGCTCATGTGTTAGTGTCGGTCATGTTGCCGCCATGAGATGCAGACTCTGGGTAAATGGGCTCCACACATCCCTTCAGGTGGCGATGGAGCCCCGTGGGCCGTGTGGTTCAGAGCGCTGAGAGCCATCTTCGCCTTGGCAGTACCACCTGGTCTTGCCATGCCAGTCTGTGTGCCACCTGCTGGGAGGGAGGCAGAGCGGGGCCTGTGCCAGCTTTTAAAAACCACACTGAAGCCATAGTGGAAGTTCTCTCACCCTTGATAGTAATCCCTCTGCAGTCATGGTTGGATTATCACACCATGAAAATACTTTTGGAGGTATGTGACCATCTTCCTGTTGTGGATTGTTTCAATGGTTTAACATAAATACAAAACTTAATTAAGAATAATTAAGAATAACAGACCCTTTTGCACGTGTCGTCTGTTAGAGATCCAGTTGAGAAAAATCGCCTCGTTGAGGCTTTGCAGTCAGTTCATTACGCCCAGTGAAAGGCTGCCAGAATGAATTCAGACATAAGAAGGGAATGTCTTTCGGTTGAAACTGTGCTATAAATAGTGAAGGCAGGCAAGCATAATATTAAAAGTTATAAAACTCCTTAGAGCCAGATTACTGCAGAAGAATAACACCTGCTAAAGCTAATTAAAGTTTAATATGTTTAATAAACGCAATTGTTACAGACAGAAAAATCATTAAAGTGCTGTAGCAAATTGCTAAGTTACCATCAGGCCACATAATAAATTGATGATCTTTCACTGTCTGAATGAATGCAAATTCTCATTGTACTGCATTTAATTATGCACAGAATGGTGCCCTTAACTCAGATTTAAATGAAGCATTTTATTTTTTCACTTTGAAGACTCCAACTAGGAATCCAGTTAACATTGCGTAGGGGGAAAAAGGAACGACTAAAACGTGACATTTAACTGCAAAATGTATTTGCAGCTTTCCGTTTACATGGAGTCTCCGCCAGCTCTCGCAGCCCGGGCCCTGGGAAGTCCTGGGCTCCCAAAGAAGCTTGACTCCTTGTGAGCTCATCAGGGCCTCCTGGGCTGCAGGGCAGTGTAACACGCAGTCCTACTGTGGTTTTGCCTTTGCTTTCAGTTCTGACCTTGGTGTGAGATTTAAAGTGATTTCTAAAGTAGAATTAGGGGAGGAAGGGACAGTGGCTTCAGCACAGGTCAGACGCCTCATGCGTGTGTTAAATGACGCCTGTACCCTGTTGTGCATCCCGAGTGTCGCAGCGGGAGTCGGGACAGTGTCTGTGCCACTTCGGGCCACCCTGTTCCACAGGGTTATTGCTGCCAAGTTGAGCCTCCCATGGAACAGAGCCCCGTGGAATATGGTTCTGCCTGGTTGGGTGCTCTGGCTGGCTTGGGTGTTCCCATCTGGATTGAGGTTTCCAATCCTGTTGTCCATGTTCCACTTTAATATCCATTATACTGCTATAGTTTCTTCTCATTATATACAATTATATACAATTAGAAATTGCAGCTAAATGGAAAAAAAGCCAACATTATGCTGCCTTCCTTTATGTTTGTGTTTGTATCCACATTTATAGACCTAAACTAATATAAATACACATAATTGTTGCATGTACTTTGCGGGTGGGCGGAATGGTTAGGTTGTTAGACGTCTTGTTTCAGAGTAATTGGGTCTGAGTCCCAGCCCCGATGTCCATTCAGCTTCCTGCTGACACGCACCGTGGGAGGCCGTGGCTGTGGCGCTGGACTCAGTCTGGCCTGCCCTGGCTGCTCTGGGCATCTGGAAAGCCATCCAGCTGATAGAAGATCAATCTCTCTGTCTCCCTCTCTCTCTTCCTCTCTCTCTTCTCCTCTCTCTCCTCTCCGCAACCCTTCAGATGCATTCAGTAAGGAAATTAAAATGCAAACGGTGAACTTCAGCTGGAGCAGTGATTGTCGCGGTGCCGTGTGCCGTGGCTCTGGAGCTTTGGGCTGGCCTGTTAGGGCTTACACAGGGGCCTTGCATGCGCTCATGTTCAAGGCCGGTGTCCCTTGCTTCTGGCACCATGAGCATCCCAGTGTGTAAATGACCACTCGCTTCTCTGTTTCTCGGGTGCATCTCCGAAGGCGGCGAGCAGGGGGCTTACACCTGTGCAAAGCCCGGCCGCCCTTGCAGCCCTGTCTCTCCAAGGCAGTGACTCGGAAACAACATGGCTATTGACATATGCAGCCTTAGCATCCCCTGGTCACCTCGTGGGGGACCTTGTCAGGCGCTGGCCACTTCACTTGGTTGGGCCGTGTCTTCCATGCCTGTTCTGGGAGTTGGAAAGGGGTACATGAACCACAGGGACAAATTCCTGGGATCTCCATGTCTGAGAGGAAGATGTTGCTGAAGAATATTATAACGACACTTCAAAAAGTTTATGGAAAGTGAAATTAAAAGATATGGTGCAAAAAAATTGGAGTCCATGCACACTCCTGTTTTCTTGTCTGCATGTGCATTTGATGTGTATGTGAAAGCACTTGGATGTTGTTGTATTGGTTGCTCCTGAGAGGGGTTAGTAGGTGTGTCGATAATACAGTGTATTTGGGCTTGGCGCAGTAGCCTAGTAGTCAAAGTCCTCATGCTGCATGCCCAGGGTCACATATGGGCACAGGTTTGTGTTCTGGCTGCTCCACTTCCCATCCAGCTCCCTGCTTGTGACCTGGGAGAGCAGTCGAACTCTGTGCCCGCGTGGGAGACCCAGAAGAGGCTCCTGGCTCCTGGTTTGGATTGCCTCAGCTCCAGCCCTTGTGGCCATGTGGGGGATGAACCAACAAATAAGTTTTTCTGTCTCCTCTCTCTGTATGTCTGCCTTTCCAATAAAAATTAAGTAAATCTTTATTTATATATCCTAAAAAATAACTGGGGGAGTGTCAGTTGGCACCTGGTGTCCCTGGCTCCCTATCACAGTGCTTGTCCGGGCCCTGCTTGCTCCACTTCCAGCCGAGCTTCCTGCTGATTCATCCTGGGAAGCACCAAGTGCTTGGGCCCCTGCTGACCTTATGAGACCTGGTTGGAGTTCCAGGCACCTCAGCTGTTAGGACATCTAGGGACTGAACTGGTAAATGGAAGATCTCTTTGTCTCTGTCTCTGAAAATGAGCAAACTTTTTTTAAAAAAGATCAATAAGTTTTGGGCCTAGCGCGATGGCGCACTGGTTAAGGTCCTCACCCTGCACACCCGGGATCCCATATGGGCGCCGGTTCGTGGCCCGGGAAAGCAGTCGAGGACGGCCCAAAGCTTTGGGAACCTGCACCCGCGTGGGAGACCCGGAAGAGGCTCCTGGCTTCGGATCGGCATAGCATCGGCCGTTGTGCTCACTTGGGGAATGAATCATCGGACGGAAGATCTTCCTCTCTGTCTCTCCTCTCTGTATATCCGCCTTTCCAATTAAAAAAAAAAAATCTTATTAAAAAAAAAAGATCAGTAAGTTTCTTGTTATCATCAATGCTCAGATGTTCTAGATGTATCTGGCCTCTTCACATTTGCTAAGCAGCTGATAGAATCATGCCATGTTCTGTGCGTTGAGTTTGAGTGGTCCAGCTCCTAAAACCCTGCTCTAGATTCAGCTTCCCACTGCTGTGCCGGGTACCGAGGAACTGGGTCTCCATGTGTCGCATGAACCGAGCCAGTTTCTAGCAGTTTCTGGCAGATCCCGACTGGGGCCTCTCTCCTTTGGGAGACAACAGCACAGACAGTGTCTGCCCGCCCTGTGCGAGGAGCCGCAGGGGAGGCCAGCGCTGGGCAGGCCTCTGCGCCATGCTGCCAATCAGCTGGGCTTTCCGAATTCCTGTGATCCTTATTATTACTGCTGAAGAGTGTTGGTGGACATGGCCCTGAAACAGCCGTATTCCGATAAGGTCTTTTTTTTTTTTTTTTCATTTGTCAACAGGAATTTTCTATTTTAAAGAAAATTTTGCTTTTTCTCATTATTAACCATTTGATTACTTTTAGGAATACTTTGTACATCAAAGATTAAATCAATCTCTCTTTTGTTTTTTAAGATTTATTTATTTTTCATTACAAAGTCAGATATATAAAGAGGAGGAGAGACAGAGAGGAAGATCTTCCATCTCATGATTCACTCCTCAAACGGCCGCAACAGCTGGAGCTGAGCCGATCTGAAGCCAGGAGCTAGGAGCTCTTCCAGGTCTCCCACGCAGGCGCAGGGTCCCAAGGCTTTGGGCCATCCTCGACTGCTTTCCCAGGCCACAAGCAGGGAGCTGGATGGGAAGAGGGGCTGCTGGGATTAGAACCGGCGCCCATATGGGAACCCATTGAGTTCAAGGCGAGGACTTTAGCCTCTAGGCCATTGCGCCAGTTCCATTAAATCAATCTTAGTTCTTTTTATTTGCCAGTTTTTAGGAAAACCAATGTGTTATCTAGCATCCTGCTTTTTGCCTTTGCTTTTGCTGTTTGAGTGCTTTTCACTTGCTTCATTTTGCTGTCAGTATTTAGAGATGGCTTTTTGTTGTTTTTGAGTTGGCTTTATTTTTCTGTGGATCATTTGCGTGGATGGTTCCTGAGTCAAACCCCCGCGGAAGGTTTGACTGCAGGTTCCCCTGGCTGACCCCTGCCTCGCGGTCCTGGCCTCCCTCCCTGGAGCCGTCTCTCCTTCTCTGAAATGCAAGCAAATAGAAGCCAGCTTTTTTTGCTTTGTGCCTGTCACATTTTTACACAGATCTTTAAAAAAGCAAGAAGAAAGCCATTAGACAGCCTCGTCCCAGGAGGGTGCTGGTTCCCTGCGTGAGTGCTGTTCCTGATCCCTCGTTGTGCCCGAGGCGCGGTGCGGGATCCTTGGTACAAGCCAAGCTCACTCAGTGCAGAGAGCGAGTGTGCTGGGGAAGGTGACCGCAGCTGGCTCCGAATGCGTTTCCCGCTCACACCGTCCCCTGTGCACACTGTGTTTCAGGAGCTGTATCCTGCATTCTGCATTCACAACGGAGGCTCCGACCTGGAGCGGCTCCCCACGGCCAGCACCTGCATGAACCTGCTGAAGCTCCCGGAATTCTATGACGAGACACTTCTGCGGAGTAAACTGCTCTATGCCATCGAGTGTGCTGCTGGCTTCGAGCTGAGCTGAGCCGAGCCAAGCCGAGCCAAGCCGAGCCGAGCCGAGCCGACCCTCTGCGGAGAAACCAGCGCCTCCCCAGACCGTGGGACGCCCGGGTTCGATGCCACAGCTCTCCCCGCCTCCTCCCGGCCTTCTTCCCTCCGTTTCTCCAGTGATTTTTATTTCAACGTGGTCTCTCATTTAGGTGGACGTTGCTTTCCATATACAATTAATAAATACGACGTGCCATGTGGCTAAATTGAGCAGTTTTGCCAAGAGGAGCACAGCTTTTAGAGTAGTGGCAACTCGGTGCCCTTAACCAAAGATGAGGCCCTGACTCTGTGGCCGGCGGGAGGCCCTCCGGGGCCACGGCTCTGCCCGCCCGCCGGCCCGGGGCTGCCAGGAGACAGGGTCGGAGAGGCCAAGCCCTCACCTCCAGGGGCCACTGCTTCTCACGTGGCTGTTTACAATCCTAATTGGTAAAATTAAAGGCATTTGTTTCCTGTTGCCTTTATCCCAAAAAGTGGGCAGGTTTGGAAAGTTGAAAACAATAGTTTTGTCGTGCTGTTGAAGCCATTGGCGCCGAGCGGGACTAGCATGCTTGTTTTCATTCGGCCGCCAGCTGTGTCCTGCCGGCGTGGACCTAGCTGTGTGTGGACGTGAGCGGGGCCTGGGTGTGTCGCTCTCTGCCTCTGCTTTGTGCCTGGGGAGCTTTGGGGGAAGGTGGAGTGACATCCGTGTTACCATGAGAATGACACCCTGAGGGAGAAGAGACACTGTAGCATCTATTAAAGCCGTTTGAACCAAAGTAGCGGGCTGCTTCTTTGTCCCTGACACCTGCTGGGGCATTTGTGACGCCCACGCCCTCCTCGCCCCTGGGTGGCACAGCTAGTCTTCCTGGATATTTGAAGGGTGACTCTCCCTGCCTTGGCACCCTCTGCTTCGACACGAACACAGGACAGTCCCTGACACACATTCAGGGAGGAGCAGGCGTCTCTCTGTAAGGCACTTTATCGGGACCTGCCTGGTGGCCGGGGCAGCAGTCGCTGCAGGCAGGCAGCGATACAGGGCGCCGGCTAGGCCAGTGCCACCCTGGGCCAGCGCAGGGGGCAGGCCTCGGGACCTGGCTCGGCTCCCCCCGCACTCTGCAGGCTGTCGTAGGTGATTGACCAGAATTAGCAATATACTTTTAAATGGGGGGGCAGGGGGGCAGGAATGACTTTTAAGACAATGACCATTATCAAAACAAAATGTATAATTTCTGAATTTGAATAATAAATTAAGTGTTTAAATGGTATTTGTAGTCTTGATATACAGAAATAAAACAATTAGGGTTTGTATTTGGTTTTATTTTAGATCATTTACCTTGAATGTTTTTATTAGTTAATTTGTGTATTATCAGTATTTTAGAGATGGAATATCTGAGACTAAAACAAGTATACTTATTTGTGTTTTTTTTCTCAGCTAGTCTGAGCTTATTTATTTATTTGTATGTTCTAATGGCTTAACACTTACATTAAATTTTTTTTTTCCCAAGAGTGCTTGGAGTCCTACCCCGAATCATTATGTTGAGTTATATTCTGCTTTGGTCAAACCACAGCTTGTCAGTGTCTGCTGGTCGTATCCCAGGTGTTTTTGTGTCAGTACGGTATGGAATGTAGCCGACGCCTTCTGTGTGGGGCTGGCGACCCGGGCGCCCCTGCCACTCGCCTAGGGGCCAGCGCAGGCAGCCGTAGCAGGTGCCTCTCAGGGCTTTCGCTGAGCTTACGTTCTTGAGGAAGAGCCGTGTGTAAGCTAAGGCAGATGGGGAGAGCCTCCAGCTGTTGGCCCAGTCCCAGATGCCCACGGTGGCCAGCGTCCGCCAGTCTGAGACCCAGATGCCCACGGTGGCCAGCGTCTGCCAGTCTGAGACCCAGGCTGGAGCTGTCGGCCACTGCGCCCGAGAGTGTGGGGGTGGGGAGCAGAGCTTGAAGCGATGGGGGCATCCAAGGAGTTCCTTCAACATCTTTGGGAAAAGGTGGATTTGCTGGGAACGGAGGCTACCTTTGTTAAGGTGGAGGGTGAGCTGAGCTGCCTGAAGAGTACGAGGCAGTGAGTGTGTCGGGGCGGCCAGCGCAAAGGCCCTGACGCCAGGCGAGGAATGTTTGGTGACCCGCAGAGCAGTTATCGAAGGGGACCGGAACATGATGTCGGGACGGCTGCTGGAGAGGAGGAGCCGGTGGAAACCCGGCGCTGAGGGCAACAAACTACTCAAGAACGGAAGGACGGACAGACAGCCTTGTCCTGCAAACCCAGGGGCCAGGGAGTGGCAAAGTTACTTTTAAGATTATTTTTTATTGGAAAGTCAGAGATACAGAGAGGAAGATCTTCCGTCCGCTTATTCACTGCCCAAGCAGCAACAGCCAGAGCTGCACTGAGCTGAAGCCAGGAGACTCCTGCCCTTCTCCTGGATGGGCGCAGGGTCCCAAGGCTCTGGGCCATTCTCTATGGGATGGGAAGTCAGGCCTCTGGGATTAGAACTTGAGTCCATATGGGCCCGGCGCGGTGGCGCAGTGGTTAAGTCCTAGCCTTGCACGCCCGGGATCCCATATGGGCGCCAGTTCTAATCCCGGCAGCCCTGCCTCCCTTCCAGCTCCCTGCCTGTGGCCCCGGAAAGCAGTCGAGGATGGCTCAAAGCTTTGGAACCCTGCACCCGCGTGGGAGACCCGGAAGAGGCTCCTGGCTTTGGATTGCCATAGTATCAGCCGTTGCGCTCACTTGGGGAGTGAATCATCAGACGGAAGATCTTCCTCTCTGTCTCTCCTCTCTGTATATCCGCCTTTCCAATAAAAAAAAATAATAATAACAATAACTTGAGTCTATATGGGATCCCAGTGCATGCAAGGTGAGGACTTTAGCTACTAGGGTACCGCACTGGGCCCTCCACCAAATTTTTGAGTGATTCATTATATGTACAACCTCCACATTAAAGGCGGCTGCTTGTGCAGTTAAAATCCACTTTTTCAGGAAGGTTCTAACCAAGGAGGCCTTTTTGGTTTTATTCTGTTGGACTCCGTGTTTGCTGCCTCCAGCTGCAGGTGATGAGTAAGTCATCGGACGTAAGATCTTCCTCTCCGAACATCTGACTTTCTGATGAAAAATAAATAATAAATTTAAAAAAGAAAAATGTATTTGAAAGGCAGAGATAGGAGAGGGAAAGAGCAAACCTTGAACAGCTGGTTCCCTCCGCAGATGCTTGCCGTAGGCCCCCCAGGAAGTCCATGTTGGGAGAGACCCGAGCGATTGGACCATCTGCTGCCTCCTCGGCCGTGAGCAGGAATTCGGGTCAGGGGCAGAGCGCTAGGACTGGCGCTTCCACATGGGACGCCGGTGTCACGAGTGGCCTGCCGCTGAGCCCACTCCCTGCAGCATCCATTGGTTTGCGTGTGAGATAGGCTGGGGACAGAACTGACCAGGCCCGTGTGTCCAGGGGGCTGATGTGGGTGACGGACTGGGGCTGGACCCCACCCTGGCTGGCACACACAGGAGTCAGGTCTGGGGTCACCTCTGGTGAGGTTTCTTTGGGGACCTCCCTACCCCAACAAGACCACTATACTCAGAAAACCAACAGGAGGGAAAAAAAATCCCAGGCTCTGTGGTCCGACCTTGTACTTTATGTGTCGGTCGCCTCTGCAGTGGATGGCACGCCCACATGCAGGTGGGGGACATGACGGTTCATTGAGGTCTGCAGAGAACATCTGGTACCACGGCGTGGGGTGCAGAACAAATTGGACAGCTCTCCCAGCCGAGCCTTGACAGCAAGCATGTGGGCGAGTGGGCTAGGGCGCTCTGTGTCAGCCACTGGGCCCTGGCAGGATTTCCTCAGCCTTGGAGCAAGGAAAGCAACCATAGGTCCCAATTATCCGAACCGCTTAAGCAGTGTGCTGGGGACATGCTCCACACTGGGGACCCTGGGGTGACGTTGGGGTGGCCGTCCTCCATCCCTGGGTACTGATGCAGTTAGGTTACTGGGTGCAGCCCTCCCCCTCCCTCCCCCAGGAGCTTTCCTATTTCTCTGCCCTTCCCACCCTACTCGGTGGGTCACATGGGCGTGCATCCTTCTCCACTATGGAACCGTCACCAGAAGAGGGAGCAAAAAAAAAACCTGGCCCAGCTTATTTTTTTACATTTAAAAGGCACTTCGAGAACTGGCCTGATAGCCCAAATGGCTGTAAGTGCCAGGATCCCATATGGGTGCCGGTTTGTTTCCCAGCTGATCCACTTCCCATCCAGCTCCCTGCTTTGTGGCCTGGGAAAGCAGTCGGGGACGGCCCAAAGCCTTGCACCCACATGGGAGACCTGGAGGAGGCTCCTGGCTTCAGATCGGCTCAGCTCTGGTAGTTGTGGCCACCTGGGGAATGAACCAGCAGACAAATCCTTCTGCATCTCTTCTTTCTGTTTATTTCTAATAAAAAGAAGAAGTTGTTCTTAGCAGAGAGCTTTACATGGTCTGTGCGTTCTCCCAGCTGGAGTTTCTTTTGTCATCCTCAGCTTCTCTCCCAGGGAACGCAGGAAGCAGATCCCAGGTGGAGCAGCCTGAAACTTGAACTGGCATCTGTACGGAATGCAGGTGTGCAGGGAGCAGCTTACCCGCCACCGTGCCAGTGCCCCCTGATTCCATCCGCGTGGCGCTAGCCTCCCTCTGGATACATTATTGGACTAATTGCTTTGCGCCTCCGTTCCCTCCCCGCTGCAATGTCTGTTTCATAAGATAAGCGGTTTGTTGAGCCAACCGCTGGGCACCAAGCTGCTAGAATAGTGTCTGATAGACAGCAGGCTCGGTAGATTTCCTGAGCAGACCGGACGGCAGAGCCCTTTGCCGCCTGCCCACGCTGGGCTGGGGCGGTGAGCCCCACTTCTGCTGACCCCACTTCTGCTGGCCCCCACTTCTGCTGACCGGTGGGCGGACCTGCCGGCAAACGCGCGCCCAGCAGTGGTGAGCGGGCTCCCCCTGGTGGTCAGGCCTGGGTGAGCGGGCTGCACAGGTGGAAGGTGGAGGACCAGGGTCGCCAAGGGGAGCGGGGCTCCCGGGCTGCTGCGCACAGGATCAACCGGATCATCCCGTCTGTGTCTCCTCTCGAAAAGGTGCCGATTAAGCAAGCACTTTCATGGAACATGACGTTTAAAACTCCAGTGCCCCGGTCAGCGCCATGGCAGGGCAGCTTAATCCTCTGCCTGTCATCCCATCTGAGCCCTGGTTCAAGTCTCGGCTGTTCCACTGATGGTCCAGCTCCTGGCTTGAGGCCTGGGAGAGCAATGAAGGATGGCTCAGGTCCTTGGGCACCTGCAATCATGTGGGAGACCTGGAGCATCTGCTCTAGGCTTCGGATCAGCCCAGCCCTGGTCATTGCAGCCATTTGGGGAGTGAACCATCTTCCACATGGAAGATTCTCTCATTCTCTCTCTATATATAAGCTGCCTTTTAAATACATAGCTAAATCTTTTAAAACAAACGAAAAGAGTCAAGCCTTATTAGGTCCAAAAGATCCCCGAACCACAGACAAGTTCCACATGCAACAATTCAAAAGCAAAGAAACTTTATTGCTAGCTCGAGCTAGGGTCCGAGTCTCATCCATGGCAGTGGAGTGTTGACTCTTGCGAACCGTTTTTATCCTCTCTTAGTCACGTACGGCGCGTCTCCAGCAAGCTGTGCCGTCCTTATCTTGGTCACGTACAGCTCGTACCGCTGTGGGCCACATTCCACTTGTGGACGTGCGGATGCCCCTGACTGGCCCGTCTCCAGGGTCACTCCCCCTGCCGCCTCCATCACTCGGAGGAGGATGAGACTTGGAAGTGAAGTGAGGCTTGGTTGGACCTACTCCCCGACCTTAGGCCCGTCATGGTGTCGGTCCTGTTCTTTATGCTGCAAAGCCAAGCAACGATTACAGAAACCAAATGTAGCGGTTATGCTAACAGTTAAACTCCCTTGTCACTGCAGTTGTTGAGAGTAAATCCCTGCCACCCAGCCCTGCACCCCCGACTCCCCAGGACCACCTCTGAATTCTCTCAGGTCTGTCGGGTCCAACCTGCGTAGTGCCCTGCCCAGCGCTGCATCAAGGGCCAGCCTTGCCTGCAGCCTGTCCGGGGCCAGGTGTGTGGGCCATTGTGAGGCTCGGCGCTGTCAGTCGGCCCCGTGGGGTGTCTCCCAACAGTAAGCTCTGGGAAAAGTACAGATAGATGGCATAGCCCTTCCTCGGCCACTCCTCTGCCCCCAGCACCAGCGAGAACAGATGACACCCAGACACCGCATAACAAGAGCTGGGTCTGCTTGCCAGAGGGCACGCCTGGGAGGTGGGCAGAG